CCATGTGTCTGAATAAGTCTCAATACTGTAAAGCTACTCCTTAGCCTACAATTAATCAATAATCAGCATAAACCCATCAATACTTTACGTGGGGTATTTCTTTGAGATTTGACAAAATGATCCTAAAGCCGATCATACCCATGCAGGTGCACTAGACCTGGGCACACATGTATTCACTCTTTGGCATGTGTGTTATATTTTAATAAAAAGCCCACCCCCACACATGCACAGTGTTACGGCCACTGGATGAGAAAGGTCAAATCACAGAGAAGCAAGTACAGAAACTACCCCGTGTATGATAAAAATGGAACAGACAGTCAATGGAAAATACATGGTTAGAATAACTGATTAATATTTGGGGGAAAAAATAGATGTATCACCCTTTACCCTTCAGAAAGTTGCAGCTAAAGTTTTAAATGTCAGAACTCTGCAAAAATGTAGATGTATAAGTTACAATCAACTCATGTAATGTACATGACCTTGGGGAAAGGAGGGCCTTTCTTGAATGATTCTAAGGCTAGAAGCCAGCAAAAAGGAGGCTGACAGATATGACAGAGAAAAATTGTGTGGCAAACGATATATAAACATTATTGAAAAGAAAGTGAAAATAATAAACTGGGAAAAATATTTCCAACGTGAGAGAAAAACAGACTCAATGGCCTTAATATATAAAGAACTCTTAAAAATAAGTAATGAAGACACATACGCCAATAGAAAACTGGGCAAGGGTGGAAAGTTTTTAAAACACACAAATGGCCAGTGAGCACCTCCGAAAAGCAGTGTGTGGCATGCAAATGAACACTCAACTAGTGAAGATCACACTGGCATCCATCAAAAGAGGAGCCCTGCCAAAAATTCAAAATGGAATCTGCTTACACTTCTACCAATTTATCATCTACCAATTTATAGAAAACACAGGTCAGAGAAGCAGGTAAAACCTCAAGGAGATATAATTAGCAAAATCAGCACAAACTCTACTATCCAGTTTCTGGAGGGGAAGAGAGGAAGGGAAGATCCCCGCTTAGAGAGAGAGACTTAGGAACCCATCAGCTTGTCATAGTGTGTGGCCCTGATGTGGATCCCAATTCAAGCAAGTTGCAAAACACAAAACAAAACAAAAACGATCATTATGAAATTGATGAAGCATGTAGAAATTTGACCAAAAGGTAGGTATTTCATGATATAAGGAATTACTGTAAATTTTGTGTTAGGAGAGACAAACGTATTGTGGTTTTGGTTTTCAAAAGTCTCTTTAGGAGAGACATTGAAAAAACAGCACGGCTGCAGCCATATTCTGTCTGGCATTTGCATCTCACAGAGGGACCGAGTGGGAACAGGCAGGCAGGGCTGGCAGTGCCCAGGCATCACGGGAGCTGGATGAGAGCTGATGGGGCTCCACGTCGTTTGTTTAACCTGCTTACTTTTGTGCACGCAAAATGCTCCATTAAAAAAAAATGGCTCTGCCAATGTTGGTGCAGAGGGATGGGACATGGGCTCTTGACACCTTTCCAGAGGGCAGAAGACCAGAAGGTGCCCTCTGATCCAGCAGTGCAACTTCTAGAACATTCTAATGAATATAAGCAAAGCTTTACAAAATATAAGGATGTTTAGACAGCAACTTCTATAATAGGAAGCAGATAGATAGAACCTACGCACTCGTTGTGAAGGAACTGGGTAAATGTGACATTTCCATTTAACGGTATACTGTGTAACAGTAATACTTAAAATGGCAATCTATTACATATTGACATGAAAAGATGCACATGGTGTTAACATTAGAAATATATACTAGGCTGTGCACAGTGGCTCACACCTGTAATCCCAGCACTGTGAGAGGCCAAGGTGGGCAGATGGCTTGAGCCTAGAAGTTCAAGACCAGCCTGGACAACACGGTGAAGCCCCACCTCTACAAAAAATACAAAACTTAGCTGGGTGTGGTGGCGCACACCTGTGGTCCCAGCTACTCAGGAGGCTGAGGAGGTACCCATCTGGGCCTGGGAAGTCAAGGCTGCAGTGAGCCATGACTGTACCCCTACACTCCAGCCTGGGAAACAGCAATATACAATATAAATTTTAAAACTATAAGCTCATGAGCATATATTCACATAGAAAAAATTTTGAAAGGACACACCTCAAAATGCTAACGTAAGTTACTTTTGAGTAATGGGATTATGGATGACTTATTTTCATTTTTATCTAAAATTTATACTTTTTTTCTTTCATAAGTATGGATTTCAAGTAGACTTTTTTATTGTTTTAAAAACAAATTTGGAAATAAACTATATTGTAAAAGGAAAAACATTTCAAATGGTGTTACTATACCTTTGTTAGCCACTTACCATGCTTTTGAGTGATCTACAATGAGTTTCATAAGTTGCTGGCCTAGAAACCATAATCATAAACTTACTTTGTGAGATTATTAAAGGTCTGTTTTGACGTTTTTAGGCCCCATATCCTCCCAAAAGCAATAGCAGATTATAATTAAAGAACAAATTGAAAATGTATCTAATGGAAATACACACACATCAATGCCCAGAGTGTTTCCTTGGGGTGTAGGAAAATGTCTTTTTTCTCCTCTTTTGACAAGAATACAAAGATGAAGCACTTTAAAGGGATAATCCCATTTCACGCTCGTCACGGGTACATCAAGACCCAGTTTAGGGAAATCTATGCAGGTTTTGCCTATTAGCTAATCTGTTTTAGTACCTGTGGTGCTGACAAATTAATTTGGCAGGGAGAAACCGTTCTGCATGGGGCAAGCTCTTCCAGGTAATCCCAGCATGAGGCGGGTTGGGCTGGAGAGCAGAGACAGTCCTGTGGCCAGGGATGACTCTGGAGCCAGGGCGGTGGGGCTGAAGGCCAGCTTGGATGCCAGGGCAGCTGTGACAGTAAGTCAGGAGGTGGGTGAGGAGCGGCTGCCAGAGGACAACCAGGCTGTAGACAGGATCTCTGTCCACAAAGGCCAGACTAGGCTGGGACTGAGGTGTGGACCACACCGAGGAAGGTCTGGAATTTCTGAGCCTTCTATTTCATGGCCTGCACTAAAATGGTTGAAAACACGAAGAAACTGTTGCCATCCCCCATTTCAGGTACCCAGTGACAAGTTCCTCCATTCCCTTCACAGTTCAGGAAGTCCAGCACCTGGATAAAGCTGCTGCTTCTCCACTGTGATGGTTAATATCGAGTGTCAACTTGATTGAAGGATGCCAGGTATTGTTCCTGGGTGTGTCTGTGATGGTATTGCCAAAGGAGCTTAACATGTGAGTCAGTGGACTGGGAGAGGCGGACCCACTCTCAGTCTGGGTGAATACCATCGAATCAGCTGCCAGCTCAGCCAGAATAAAGCAGGCAGAGGAACATGGAAAGACTGGACTGGCTGAGGCTCCCCGCCTCCGTCTTTCTCCCATGCCAGATGCTTCCTGCCCTCAAGCATCAGACTCCACGTTCTTCAGCTTATGGACTCTTGAACTTGCTTACACCAGTGCTTTGCCAGGGGCTCTTGGGCCCTCGGCCACAGAACTGAAGCCGCACTGTTGGCTTCTCTACTGCTGTGGTTTTGGGACTCGGACTGGCTTTCCTGCTCCTCAGCTTGCAGATGGCCTATTGTGGGACCTCACCGTGTGATTGTGTGAGTCAATCCTCCTTAATAAACTCCCCTTCATATTCACATCCATCCTGTTCTGTCCCTCTAGAGAACCCATTGACACCCACATTCCGGCCAGCTGCACCTCATCCCTTTCGTCCTTGTCACCTGGTCATGTTTCGCGGGCTTTGCTTTTCCAGAGCAGAAGGCCTGCTTTGGGCTGGAGGGGCTGTGCACCGGGAGGGAGGGTGCTGACACAGAGGTCACGCTGCAGGCTAAGGACAACCCGAGGGCGACCTCCCACCACACAGATGGGAACCAGAGGCTCCAGTCGGCCCAAGGACTCATCAAGGACACATGGAGATGGTCGGTGGAGATGAGATGGAAACTCATGTCTGTCCGACTCTCAAGTGGGGACATTTTCCGTGGGGCAGGAGGATGCCCGGGGACTGTTCTCTAGCAAAAGCCAGCTTCATATAAACAGCGCAAGGGACGCACGCCATTTCTGCTACAAAACACCAATAGACACCGCATGGACACCTGCTCTCTCCATAAACGAGGGTGAGAGGGAAGAGTTTACACACAAAACGAACATGCTGTGAAACTAAGGTTTTTTCCCCACAAAAATTAAGATGTGTATCTCATTTTGAAAAGAGAAGAACAAACTAAAGCTCTTCAGAGAAACCTTTTTTTTTTTTTTTTTTTTTGAGACATAGAGTCTCACTCTTTTGTCCAGGCTGGAGTGCAGTGGTGCAATCTCGGCTCACTGCAACCTCCACCTCCCAGGTTCAAGCAATTCTCCTGCCTCAGCCTCCTGAATAGCTGGGATTACAGGTACCAGTCACCGAGCCCGGCTAATTTTTATATTTTAGTAGAGACGGGGTTTCGCCATGTTAGCCAGGCTGGACTCGAACTCCTGACCTCGTGATCCACCCGCCTCGGCCTCCCAAAGTGCTAGGATTACAGGCGTGAACCACCGCGTGCAGCCACAAAAATCTTTTTTAAGGTCACAAATGCCAACACCTCCTCCCTCCCTCCCGGCTGTGGCTGTCTGGCACGGACTGACATTTTCGAATCTAGTCACAGCTCTGGGATCTCACCCAGGTTAATGGAGACATGTCCTGTAATGCTGGACAATCCGTACCCCAGGTGGCTCTCACTGGCCTCCCTTCAACACCTCGTCTTCCTCTGCTCCATCTTTCCCGTGCGCAACTCTCCCCATGACCCAATGCCACAGTTATTTATAGAGTGGACTCTTCCCAAATCAGTGCCGAGGACGGTCCCTGGAGGGAACACCGTCCCTGCAGATAACATGATGCGGACAGGAGCTTATAAACAGGACATCTCAGGAAGCTTCAAACCCAGAGAAAAGAATGCCAGCCTCACTGTCAGACAATACATTGAAAACCCAAGAGACAATGAGTAATTTCCACTTTAATATAAAAGGGATCCTGTCACTGGTAACTTCAGTTGGGGAATAGACTGGACATTAGCATTCAGTAAAATTCACTTCCAGATTAGAACATGTTCCATATACAAACAAGTCTTTCAATGAAAGAGTAGGTAAGCAGTGCTGGGTACACTGGCAAAACAATGAAAAATCACAATGGCAGGGCTGCGTCTGGGTGGGCCTCCACAGGCCATGAGTGCCCAGGCTCACAGGAAGTTTGATACAAGACTTTTTGACTTGTAAATAATGCAACTGATGCCCCTCTCAAGCAAGACATTCGAGGAGGCTGCAGTCCGTAGTCATGAGTTGGGTGCTCTTCTGCAGTGACGTGGATTCCTGGTTCTCCTGCAGAGGACGGTGGGTTCACCAGAACGAGAAGACACACAAACCTCCCTACCTGCAGAGGGCACCAGCTGCCATCTGAACAGGCAGGTGTGCAAACCCATCTGTAGGAGATTCCCATTTGCTGCAACGTGAAGGGCTCGGAACCAAAGCTGGAATCTTCTTTTTTCCAGCTTGCATTTCCTAATGATTCTTGGTATGGTTAAAATGTCCCTACAAAGACAAAACAGCGCATGGCGGGAATTAGTTTACCTTGGCCACATTAATACGCCTTGGCTATACACTTGCCAACACAAAGCACAACGTTTAAAATGACTGCTTGTGATATCTAAATTTTTGAGGTATCTATCTATAAATATATTAATATATATTATATCATAATTAAGATATTTAAAGCATTTCCAGTAGTGCCTGGTACATAGAACGTTTTTAATAAATGTTACTTCCCTTCTTTCCCTTTTTTTTTTAAAGACGGGGTTTCGCCATGTTGGTCAGGCTGGTCTTGAGCTCCCGACCTCAGGGGATCCGCCCACCCTGACCTCCAAAGCTTCTTTCCTATAGTACTATGAGGAATAACAAGAGAATAAAAATAATATTCATATATTCATGAAATGAATTTTTAAAAAATGTCTAAATATTGAATCAAGATTCAGCACAAAAGCAACACAGAAGTGGCTCCTCTTACCAGGGACATCTGGGAGTAACAGAGGCTCATGGCAATCCCCACCAGGGCCCCTCCAACCCCCACCCATCTCCTGGAGCAGGCCTCTTGTCCCCTCACCTTCACCTGCAGAAGTAACTGGGAGAACCAGATGGCTGGGGACAGACAGTTGGCCAGACACAGGACCACTGTGCAATGAGAGGCTCGTCGGCATCTAGGAATCTGTCACACTTGGCCACATCTCCTGGCACACAGCAGTGTGGCTCCCTGGCCCACAGGCAGAGACAGGCACGGCCTCCCTGTCCTGCAAGGACTCCACCCTCAGGGTAATGGGCTCGTAGGCTGGCTGCAGCCCAGGAAGGGTTGGGTAGGCTGGCTGCTGGGGGAACAAAGCAGTCTGGTCCTCGATGACGTCCCTGCTTCCTGGAAGACAGGGGTTGCCCTGAGCCACGGGGACCAGACAGGAGAGACCCCAGCCCTGCCTGGAGGTACCATCAGACAGCGGAGTACTGAAGTGACACTGATGGCTCCTTCACAATCATAACGAAATGCTACAGGAGCCAGGGAAGACAGCACGTGACCCTGCCTCATGAGGAGGCTGAAGAAGGCTTCACACAAGGAGAAGTACCTCGGGTGGGCCACAGAGGAGCAAGAGGTAGGAGGGTGTACCCAAGCAGTAAGAACGAGGTTAGATTGTGCCAGGAACAGAGAGGCTGTCTGTGGCGACTGGAGTGGGGCTTGTGGCACACATGGCAGGGATGGGAGCAGCTGTCGGGGGTCAGGCAGCACTGAGGTGTGAAAGGCCCTGGCTGCCATGGTGAATACAGGTGCTGCATTTATTCAACAGGCCCGCACTTCCCAGAATATTCCGGGAATCACACGTGCAGCAGGTATCCCTTTTCAAAAGGACATTTTGGAAACAAGTTTCTTCATGCAATTCTCAAGGTCTTTCATAGTCTAACGGACAACAAATCCCTGAAAGGTGGGGGAAAGTATGTAGCATTTCCTGAACTTCTCTGGACAGGAACCTGTTCTGTTGGGAGACTGAGTGTAGGAACCCAGCTGGCGAACCGTGGCTCTGGGCTGTGCACTGAAGGCGCAGTCAGCAGAAGCCTGGAGGCTCACTTGGAAGTTTCGTGGGGTGCACGGCACCCAAAAGACAGGAGGCTTCTCTTAGGGGAGAGACAGGGGGATTGCAGGGAAATGCTATTTAATTCACTTCATCATCACCAACCACATAAATCAAAAAACATTTTTTTTAAGCTATTCACCGAGGCGTCTTACTCCTGACGCACCCTTCCCTGCCCTGTTCAAGGAGGGGTGTATCTGGAAGACATGTTTGAGACGCAATGGATAAAACTTGGGGACAAAGACAGGGCCACATCAATTTGAAGACTGAGATCCAGAAATTTTTTTTTTTTTTGGACAGGGTCTGGCTCTGTCACCCAGGCTGCATTGCAGTGTCACAATCATGGCTCACTGCAGCCTCAGCCTCCTGGGCTAAAGAGATACTTCCACCTCAGCCTATTGGGTAGCTGGGACTACAGGCGCCTGCCATCACACCTGGCTAATTTTTGTATTTTGTTCGTTTGTTTTTGTAGAGAGAAAGTTTCATCATGCTGTCCAGGCTGGTCTAGAACTCCTGGGCTCGGGATCCACCGGCCTCAGCCTTCCAAAGTGTTGGGATTATAGGAGTAAGCCAATGCAGTTGGCCAAGACGTAGAATCTTAGACACAGAGGAGCCTTTAGAAATCGCTCGTTTAAACCTTTTGCCCCCGGTGTGATCTCAAGCCCCCACATTGTCCTACCCTCTCTTCTCAACACAACCCAGTTTGTCTCTGTCTCTCTCAAAGCAAGCAGCCCCCCAATGACACCCAAAGAGAAGCCTGCTACTGACCCCAATCTAGACAGGGCTGGGCCAGTGGGACCTCAGGTCCTCAGACTCTGGGACTCACAGATTGCCCTCATCAGCCACCAGAAGCAGGTCTGATGGCTGACCCTGACCCTGACCCTGACCAGCAGCGTCGGGGTCATTGCATCTCAACTGTGGGTCAATTAAAACGCCTTGCCTCCTGTTTGGTCAGGCTTGAAAAGTGATTTGATAAGCAATAATGAGAAAACTCTTTTCCACTTTTGGTAAAACACAATTCCACGGAGCAAGAGAACTAAATTTGTGAAGAGGAAGATTTTATTTGCTTCTAACCCTGGGATGAAAAGGGCCGGGGGCCAGCTGTTCCCAGCTGCCCCCGCTGCCCAGCGCCTTCTCCTTGGGGCACACGTTTGCAGCCTCAGCCCTTCGTTCATCTCTCATAGCAACGACTTCTTTGCAGGGCCTGCCACCACTCATGAACTCCCTCAAAACGTCCCCCTTTCCTTTTAGGAAGCCCTCCTCACTGGGCTCTCCATGACCTGTCTGTGGGGCCAGCAAGGCAACAGGGACACACCTCATTCCATCTGGGACTAACATGTTAAACACCCAGACTGATGCCTTCACCTCTGGTACATCTAGCTGCAAGGCATCCCTGTAGCCTGGGGGTGGAGAGAACTGCGCCCCGAATCCCCTTCCCTTTTGCTGACACCATCTTTCCCTAACAGGCAGAGCCCTGGCTGTGGTAGCTCCCCACTTCTCCGTAGCACCTGTGTGACAGAATGACAGCAGCCCTCTGTGGATTAAAGATGTTGATGGTTCCTGCCATTACCATCTGCCAGAGAAGTCATTTTTCTTCCTTCAACAGCAGATTCATCTCTACCGCCACAAAACATTCTCCCTTCTCAAGAGAATTCTTCAAAGGCCTACAACAAAAGCTCTGACCTCTAGGACAATCACCCGTCTTGGCAGGTATGCATCTTTGCATGATGAAACGTCTTTATAACACCTGCCACACCCCATGCCAATGGGCATCTGTCATGCTCTTGCCTCATCTTCCTTGCTTACGCCCCATCATCTTCCTCCCTTCCTTGCGCCCCATCATCTTCCTCCCTTCCTTGCGCCCCACGCCAATGGTCTCATCTTCCTCCCTCCCTTACACCCCATCATCTTCCTCCCTTCCTTGCGCCCCACGCCGATGGTCTCATCTTCCTCCCTCCCTTACACCCCATCATCTTCCTCCCTTCCTTGCACCCCACGCAAATGGCCTCATCTTCCTCCCTTCCTTACACCCCATTCTGATGGGCATCTGTCATGCTCTTGCCTCATCTTCCTCTCTTCCTTCTTGGAGGTGTCAACACTCGAAAGTGGGCATGCACCCTTCTGTACCACTCACAACCCCAACAGGAAATAGATACATGGGCTAACAGGAGACCTCATAAGGGGGTACTACAAAAGGGTTCTCACAGAGTTGTCCTGGGAGCCACGACCCAGGGCATAAAGGGCAGCAGCAGCTACCAGAACCCAGAAGGAGGATGTGCCACATGCTGCTGGCTCCTCCAGAGGAGCGGTGGCACGGCCAGGGGACATGGCCACGTACCCTGCCCTCCCTCTCCAGCCTCCTGCTGCCTGCCCCAAACTCCCAAGGGGCTGAGCCCAAAGGGAAATGGAAGAGCCCAGGCATCCACAGATGTAAGCCATGCAGGCTGGCCTCCTGCACAGAATGCCGGGAAAGGTGGGCAGTGGATCTGAGGGGCAAACAACACAAAGCCCAGACAGGAACTTAACAGAGACTTCACCTCGGCCATTTTAAATATGGTCAAAGAACTAAAGTAGATCATGGCCAGGAGCAGTGGCTCACACCTGTAATCCCAGCTCTTTGGGAGGCCAAGGCAGGTGGATCAATTGTGGTCAGGAGTTTGAGACCAGCCTGATCAACATGGAGAAACCCTGCCTCTATTAAAAATACACAATCAGCCGGGCGTGGTGGTGCATGCCTGTAATCCCAGCTACTTGGGTGGCTGAGGCAGGAGAATCAGTTAAATCTGGGAGGCAGGGGTTGCAGTGGGCCGAGAGGGCGCCATTGCACCCAAATCTGGGCAACAAGAAACTCCATCGCAAAAAAAAAGAAGATTGTGATTAAGAATTAACGCAAAAGAGAACAATGTCTCACCAAATAGGTTAATTATCAATAAGAAGAGAATTTTATACATATAAACTAAACAGAAGTTCTACGGTTTAGAAGTATGATTGAAATTAAATATTCAGCCGGGCACGGTGGCTCAAGCCTGTAATCCCAGCACTTTGGGAGGCAGAGGCGGGTGGATCACGAGGTCAAGAGATCGAGACCATCCTGGTCAACATGGTGAAACCCCGTCTCTACTAAAAATACAAAAAATTAGCTGGGCATGGTGGTGCGTGCCTGTAATCCCAGCTACTCAGGAGGCTGAGGCAGGAGAATTGCCTGAACCCAGGAGGCGGAGGTTGCAGTGGGCAGAGATCGCGCCATTGCCCTCCAGCCTGGGTAAAAAGAACGAAACTCCGTCTCAAAAAAAAAAAAAAAAGAAATTAAATATTCATTAAAGGGGCTCAACAGTAGATTTAAGCAGGCAGAAGAACGAACCAATGAACATGAAATCAATTGAGATTATCCAGTTTGAGGAACAGAGAAAAAAAAAGAGTGAA